TCAAATCCAAAAATTCTGATCAAAAGACACTATTTAAAATATGAATATCCTAGCCACAAACTAGGAGAAAATTATATACATGTGACAAGGGACTAATTTGAAGATTAAATACATCCTGCAACTAAACAGTAAAAGCACAATTTGAAGAAAATTTGACTGTTTCTTATAAAGTTAAATGTACACTTACCCTTTATTCCGGCAATTGTACTTTTAGGCATTTACCCCAAAGAAATAAAAACACATTATTATAAAAAAAGACCAATACAAGTGTATTTATAGCCTTATTCATAGTAACCCTGAACTAGAAATTATCTCCAAGCCCATCAACAGAACAGATTTAAAAAGTATATTATATTGATACAACAGTATAATATTCAGCAACAAAATATAATAAATTGACACATGCAACAACGTGAATGAATCTCACACACACTATGCTGACCAAAATAAGCCAGACTCAAAAGATTACAAACTGTATGTTCTACAGAACTACATAAAGTTCTAGAACAAATGGAACTGCTTTATGCTGAAAAAAAGTAAAAAGTTTATTGTGTAGGTAGATTAACTAGGAAAAAGTAGGAAAGAACTGTTTGGAGTGATTGGAAATGTTCTATATCTTTACAGTGGGGTATGTTACACAAGTATATTTGTCAAAATTCATCAAATTGTCCACATTTGTGCATTTCAGTGTATATAAATATTATCTAAAACAATGTAAATAAACAAATGAAAAAAAAATGGAAGGATCTATATAATTCCAAATAACTCTCAAAGATTTAATCTTCAGAAGCCATAGTATCCTTGGTAATAGGCTGACCTACTAAGATGGTTCCTCCAGAACCTCTGAATCAAATTAATTAATGTAAAAGGGGGAAAATGATGGGACAACCTTTAATCTATACAAGAACATTTTTTCAGGTGGCCCAGCTGTTTGTACTCAGTGAGTTGAGTGTGTAAGAGCAGTCCCAAGAACATCCATTCCTCAGCCTAAAAATATATTTCCTTCTTTCAATATAATGCTCAAGGAAAGAATTTCCAGTTCTAACACAAGCTTAGAGTGGCAGTGGAAAATTGTGGTTACACAATGAGGGATAAATCCACAACTTCTTGGACTGAAACAATGGAAATGGAAAGCCATTCTTATACCACAGAAGTGAATTTTACCGTAGGTTAATTCCCCTTGCTATGCTCCACCTCCCTTTGTGGAAGATACGTAGACACTTGAAAGATTAGCCCAAATGGAGTAGAGGAAAATTCCTTGTTTTTCTCCAAAGTCAAGTAGGGATTTTCCCTGTTTCTATAAGGAATGAGGTCTAAGTTTCTATTTCTCATAAAGATAGAAAGATGATCATTGAGGATGGATATGGCCAGGAATTCAAGAAATGCAAGAATGTCACGTACTTTCCATAGCAAAACGAAACAGTGATATTTAGACTTTTATCCTCTGTAACTTGGTTTTGTGTACAGCATGGCTGAATCCAATACCTATCTGATGGTTTTCACCTCAACTTCATCTTCAGCCTACATCTATATACTTTTTTCAATCCTCATCTTTAGCAAAAGAATCTTTTTTGGCACTCCGCTCCATGTTTTGGGTAGATATTTTTCTTTGAAGTTTCCTAAATAGTCAAATCTGCATTTATGAGATGACCCAGAAAGCTTATGGGTAACAAAACTGAAGAGTAAGCATTTAGTCAGAGATAATGGATTCCACTTTGGCCCTATAAGAGAGTAAGTGAACCTGCAAAAAATTACAAATCCAGGAGACAGAAAGCATGTCATTTTTTAAAACATTAGCCCTTCTCAAACATTTGGTTTGGTTTACACAAATTTATTTTATGAACAAAAGATAGTGCCAATTTTTCCTTCTTCTGAACCAAATGAATGAATCAAATTATATCAATAGTGCCCTTCTTCTTTATACCATATATTTGTGTCCTCTGGGGGAATCCAAAATAACAGAGAAAATAATATGGACGTCTAGACAGAGAAATCTGCAAATATGTAATTCTACTATGTTGAGAAAGTTATTTAATCTTGATAAGATTAAGTTATCCTGCATGTAATTAGGGTAATAGCAACCGCTGGGATTTTAAAATGTATTTATAAACATTTTTGTGATACATATGTTGTTTTACACACACACACACACACACACACACACACACTCACCCACACAAATAATGAGACCTGAATGTAAGGCATGTTGCTGAGCATAGAAAAGGCACAAGATAAAATGGGATTTGTTCAATCTGGCTCCTGAATCAAGTGACAATTTGTTGTCCAGAGTCTTGCCCTCGACCTGAATGTAAGGCATGTTGCTGAGCATAGAAAAGGCACAAGATAAACTGGGATTTGTTCAATCTGGCTCCTGAATCAAGTGACAATTTGTTGTCCAGAGTCTTGCCCTCAAGTCATGAGCACTGCTATTCCTTATTTCATTTGGCCCTCAGGATTTATGCATGCACCAAATGAGAAGTCACAAATGACCATCTCCTGCATCATCACTCGGAACACTTACCAAATGCATTCCTTGTTATTTACTCACAAAAAAGCAAAAAAACCCAAAACAAAAAAACCCACCAAAAAAACACGCAATGCAGATGCCAGAGACTATTTTACATTATTTTAGTAGTTACTATAAAAAATTATTATCCCTTATTTTCTGTCAATGAAGAGAGAAATATTTTTCAGAAAATACGCATACATCAAGGACAACTATCTTGAACAGAATACCACACTACTTATATAGGAAAATCAAATGCTTTTTAAAAAGACTATATAATTTTTTAAAGACTTTTTTGATTTAAGAAAATATAAGTAAATTAGAAAATCAGGAAATATAAATTAAAAAGCTCATTTTGTTTCACATCAACAAATGAACTAAATATTTTAAAAAGGAGAAAAGAATCTCTTAAAATGATGAGGTTTTTCCTGTGACTCATATTCTAGAAAACTAGGTGAAATATATTTGGGACATATATACATTTGGGAATTTAAGTTTTTACATTTAAAAACTCTAGCTCAATGAAAAATACACCTAAATATGAAAATAACTCCACCAACAAGCAAACTAATGTTATTTTACCTAATTTTTATATTAATTCTTTATTAAAGTCCTGGTTAAAATAGGGAATTACAGTACTTACTACATAGTTGGTAGACAAATGAAATAATTTAATATATTAAAAAAAATTTTTTTTAGGCAGCTGGCTGGTTCAGCATCTGAAACCATGACCTTGGGGTTATAAGGCTGCACTCTAACCAAGTGAACTAACCGGCCAGCCCAATTTCAAATATTTTTAAAACATTAATTCCATAAAGTTCTGCAACATTTTAATGACCTTCCTGGACATTCTAAGCAACTCTTGTAAGAAAATAAAAACCAATATACAATTCAGTTAATTTTTTAGTAATTTATTTTGACAGAAAGATTTCAGAGTATATATATAAAGTTGACTCTAAATACTAACAATCTACTTTATTATTTATTTACTTTTTAGTTTTAAAAATATTTTTATTGTATAAATTCAAGGTGCACAACGTAATGTTTTGATATACATAGCAAAGTGTAACAATCTACTTCTAAAGTCTACTGTCAATGTTTACTTATAATCAAATATGATTAATTTAGCCAGTGGGTCCCTGGCAGTACCTCCAGCAATGGAAAATTTTCATAAGCCAATATATCTTGATTGCAACAGCCTGTACTTTTATTGTCTGTCCAGGTTCTTTTCACATGAGGTCTATAGTGAAAAGCTAAATCACAAACAGAGGTATTAGAAGACACACAATAGGGCCACTGTTCCCTGGAACAAATCGAATTTTCAATAAGTCAAAAGGTAATATGAGGGCTTCCATTATATAATCCTTCAACAGACAATTAAATTCTATAGATTTTGCATTTAACAGTCCAACCAGTGCATCTTAATATACATAAACCATAAAATAAAAGTAAATCAAAACATATGTTTGAAGTCCTTGACTAATGAAGAATCCAGTTGGAAAATGTTTAAGCTCAAATTAATGTCAAATATTTATATTATTGGGTTTGGCAGCAGAGGTGGGTTCTCATGAGAGATAGCACATTCTAAATGGTGTGTTCTATTCTGTTTTCAACTCCATTCATAAAATGCCTTTCTGTTACGCAATGGGATCACTTGGCTCGGTTAATGAACACAGGCTGATGTTTAGCGTTAACCGATTACACATAAAAATGGGAAACATCACTCATCTTTACTTAAAAACAAAACTTAAGCGAGATGTTTAGACAGAGGCACTTTTGCACCAGGGTGGTTTGCATTTCTCAAAAACAGCAAATCTAATAGTGACTGAAATGGGAAATTAGACATACAACCCACAGACAAACCACACAGGAAAGCTCAGAGGGGTTTTCCGAAACGGAGTAAACCGGTTATGTGAACAGCAATAAAGGGCTGGCGTAGCTCTGGGATAAGCCAAGCCCCAACGTGTTTGCTATTTTCCTTGGATACTGGGACCCTAACTGACAAAAAGAGGACTTTGAGGCCCCTAACACTGGCTTCCCCTTTCTTAATGTGCCCTTAACCAAGCGGAATTTGCTGTCTCCTGACTCCAGTGGAGACCTCGAAACCCCGAACCTGACTGTTCTACCTTAAATCGCTGACTCTGCACCGCGATCACAAACCTGGAAAGCCAGGAGGGCAGATCAATGGCAACACGAGATTGCCTGTTCTTCTGACTTTTGTTTGCTCGGGTTTTCATTTTAGACAGACCTCTGTTCCTCCTTAAGGAGCCTGGAAAGATAACGAGTACCCCTATCCCTTAACAAGACAGCCCCAGTCACAGCCACACGGAGGGCAGAGCAACCCAACTCCGTCCCCAGGACCCAATCACACAGCCGCATCTCCACGAGTGGCCGCCTAGACCTTCCTTTAGGTCGAGCACAGTTTGTGCCTGGAGCAAGGGGAAAAGCATCTCTCTCAATTCCCCCCGAGGCCAGTCTTCCTTTATCAACCCACCTGCATGGGAGCTTCGTGTCTCATTGTTGGCAAGTGTCCTTTCTCTCTGGCTAGGACAGCGCTGGCCCGGGCGCCCGTTCAAGCGTGCACAGCCCGCGCGCCCCACGCTCCACACTCTGCACTCCCGGGGTTCGCTAACCGGCTCCAACATCAGCACCGGAGCTGTCCTCTCCTGGCGCCGCACACGCGTACTAGCCGGGAGCCCCGCGCGCTCCTGGGAGTTGTAGTCTCGCCCTGCGGGCCTTCTCGGCAAACGGGCGAGCCGTGAACTACATCTCCCGGCAAGGAAGCAAGCAGTTAAACAGGCTCGCTCCTTCGGTCGGACTCGGCCGCGGAGCCTCCCTTTTCCTCCTTTGGAATCGCTCTTGGCCGTTACGTCTCAGCTTTCCTAACCCTTTTCCTCGCAAAGCGCAGGCGACAGTGACCCAGCTCATCTCAGCTGGAGATTTTTCTTCCTACTATCGCCTTCGGGAGCAGATTGTGATTTCCCGGTTAGGGAGCACAGTGCTAATTTCCAATGCAAACCAAGCCCAAGCTGCGTTCTGGTACTCTCCGCCCTACTCCTCTCCATCCCGAATCAGGAAAGTTTAAACATTTCCACAGTTAGAGTACGGTGGTTTTACAATCTTATTCAACAAACGCTTGGGAGAAAGACAATGAACGGCACACACCTAAGGAAAGTGGTTTGCCCGCATAATTGCATTGAAAAGGCGCGCGCGACAACACACACACTCGCACGCACCCCAAAGTCTGTGGAAAGCGAGATTTCCCGCTGAGTGCGCCGCGAGCTCCCTTCCCTGCTTACCTTTCCGTACAGGGGGAGAAAGACAATGAATGGCACACACCTAAGGAAAGTGGTTTGCCCGCATAATTGCCTTGAAAAGGCGCGCGCGACAACACACACACTCGCACGCACCCCAAAGTCTGTGAAAGCGAGATTTCCCGCTGAGTGCGCCGCGAGCTCCCTTCCCTGCTTACCTTTCCGTACAGCTCCATCGCAACTCGAGGTCTGGAAATGCTCAAGTCCTCCGGCTACAAGGCTACGAACGAGATGAGGGTCTTACGCAGGAAGCGGGGCTACACTGAAAAGGCACAATGGAAGGGGTGGGGGTGGCGGCTGGCGGAGGGAGAAATGAGGGACGTGAGGAGGGTGGCTGATTTAGACGGATGGCTTCTTTCTTCTGGAGGGGAAGCGTGGAGTCTTCAAGCGGCAGCTGCAGGGAAAGGGCTGCAAGTCTCTCAGGAAGTGCCGGGAGCGCGACGGCGCCGGGCAGCCCCTCCCCAGGCCCTTGGCGAGGCACCTTCCACCGTCATTAGCGCGCACACAGCCGCTGGCCGCGCACTGCGGAGCGGACAGGGCACTGGGTTACTGACCCAACGCGAGACAGAAAACGAACACATTCGTCACCAGAGCCCAGAAGCACCGTCACGGAATGAGGTGGGAAACCTCTAAGAAGTTACCCTGTCCTTTCTTTAACACAAATCATTCCTTATGTTAGAATCGTACACCTCCCAGACTAGATCGAAAAACGGTGTTGGAATCTTCGAACTGTACTTTTGTTATACTTATCCTTTCCTATCAGTTGACTGATATGTATATGATTATCCAGTTCTCCGTACCTATCTAGCGACATCCCTCTCCTCCTAAGAGTAGACCTTGATCATCCGGTAATGATCCCTGCCTCCTTATGAGGTCAACATTTTTATTTTGGAGGCAGAGTGGAAAAGGGATGATCACGATACTGACAAGGACACATGGAAAAGACGACTTGAATTAGCTTTAAACTTCACTGCGTTCGACAAAGCAGAAGGGAGGGTTATCTGAAACTTAAATGTACTTGAAAATCTCTTGGGGAGGAGCTGGTGTTAAAATTCATATTCTCAAGCCATGTATAGAGATTCTGATTCACCGGATCTGATCAGAGGTTCGGGAATTATCGTCGTAAGCAAACATCCCAGCAATTCTGATTCAAGTGGTTCCTTTGGCATACTTTGGGAAACACTGACGAAAGAATTTATATGTAAGACTTTTTCAAAGATAAAAACCTAAAAAAAAGTCACGGTATAAACTCGATAATGCAACAGCCATGTACTGGGAACTTAACCATATTCAAACTGTACTACTCCTTTCAGATTTTTTAGATATCTATGATCTGTCTTTAAATCATATAATTAGTGAAAATGTAATGCGATATCACCTAGGTAAATAGTTTTTGTAACTACTCGGAAAATGTAAGAATGCTCAACTCATAATTGAGGGTTATGCGATGGTTAGAGATATCTCGTTTAAATTAGCTAAAAACAAATAAAATTAAAAGGGAAAAGGGAATCTAGTATCAATATATTTCACGGTAGCAGCTTATCAGAAGTCAGACTTCAGCAAATTTTTTTATTGACATATCTAAGGGTGCATCTCTCTACAATTTTTTTCAAGAGATATGAGCAAAATAATACTGACACTTAAATGTATAAAATTTATAAAATTGTTTGGCATTTAATAATATTTGCACAGCTGCTTAGAGCCTGTCTTTCTTCAGAACAATTTCCTGTAACTTTTGGACTATTAACACCTTCTGAAATTCTCAGAATTCAAAGAGTTCGATATAGAACATATTTAAATATTACAAATATTTAACTTAAAAATTTACTGTTCTTTGGGATGTTTATCCCTTCTTAACATTTCACTAAAATGATATATGAGGGTACTTCAACAACTCTGTAGAAAAATAGAATTTAAAGGTCATATGAATCTCTCCATGAACTTTCTGAAGTACTCTTGTATGCCTTCAGTTTTTTAGTATGCCTTTTATTTGTGGAAGAGCCCATGAAAATTGAATATAAAAAGCTAGAGTTATGAAAGGTTTTTGGGAACTTAGTTCTGTCCTCTTATAATGCCTTAGTTGAGTATTTAAGTGGGTAGAGGAGGGGATAAAGCAGGTCAGGAGTCAGTTAAACAAACAATAGTGTTCTGAAGCTGACCATCTACCTAAAGTCAGAGCAGGAGCACTTTAGCTTTGCTTGAAATCAGGCTACCATCTGTGAATGAATTTCATTCCTGACATCACCAAATGGCTGCTGGAGCTCCAGCTCTTGCAGCCACACTGCAGCCAAGAGGAAGGAGGAAAGAATGCAGGAAGGTATTGCCCCATCCATTTACGTACACCACTGCTCTTATATTTCAGTGCCTAAAACTTAATCTCACGACCATACCTGTTACAAGGGAGGCTGGAAAAATGTCTTAACAAAATGAGTGACCATGTGCCCAGGTGAAAATCAGAAACTCTGCTTCAAGGAAGAAGGGAAGAGCAGGTGTTGGGCGACAGCTGGCAGTCTGCCACAAGACATCAGGGGGACTTGCAAGGTAAAGCTGGCTGCTTTTTATCCCCTTTGCAATTGTACTGAAATGTGAATGTCTAATTATCTAAAAATGTACCTATTCCCAGAGATTTCTGTAATTTAACAAAACTCAAAGTCTTAAAATCAAGGAGTTACCCAAAAGTTGGAATATTATGGCCAATCTTGAGGAAACAGAGAAAGAGAAAAGCCTTCTCCACTTACACATGAACCTTGGATTAGGAATTGTTATTAAAACGGAAGAATACAGTTAATAAAAAGAAAAGGGGCCACCAGTGAATGTCAAGGAATATATGACATGAACACCCCACCATAGTAGAATGTAGAGCAGGCCCAAAGGACCATAGGACCAGGGAAGTCTGTGTGACCATTAGAGAGATAGCTGGGATGAGAACTATTAATCTTTTTTTTTTTTCCTTTTTGTCTTTTTTACTGACCGGTAATGGTATCGCAACCCTCGGTGTCATGCCCATACCGGGGACCAGCAATGGGATCGCAACCCTCGGTGTTGCGCCCGCACCGCGCTCAGCCAGTGAGCGGGAACTGGTCTCCACGTGGGATCCGAACCCTTGGCGGGAGCGCTGCTGCACTCCCAAGCGGTGCACTCTCCAGTGCGCCACCGGGCCGGCCCAGAACTATTAATCTTTTAATCTTCAGGTTCACTTTTCTTTTCACTGCCTCACATCACTCTTCATTAGTGATTGGTTTTTTGCTACCCTGTGTTTACCTATTTACTAACATTCACTTTATTGTTTGTATGTGTCTAGTTAGTGTAATATTCACTTTGCTGTTATCAGTCCCTGTCTGTGTCAGCTCTATTGTTTAATTTGGCCACTTGGCTAAAACAGAGCCAAGAACAGGATAATTAATTACTGATTAACAATAATAATGTTGGCTAAATAAAAAATAGGAATAGATATTTTGTATCCACTCCTGTTATTATCTCTCTGTTAGGACTTCTGCTGAAAAATAAAATTACTGAGATTTGGTGTGAGGGATAAGGATGCACATGGAGATTCGCTTCCTCCCTCAAGCAAGCCTTATTCAAATTCACAGTTCCAGGTCCCTAATCTTAGGTATTTCTGGGACCATCTCCAATTGAGTGGGAGGTTTTTCTAGTCTGACCCCTATTACCTTTGTCTGACTCACTGTATTGGGGTTGGCTTTAATCCCAACTTTATGCAGCATTCATACCAAGAAATGCTATTGATTGTCTTGTGTTCCCTTTAAAAGAACTTAAATATTCCCATGGCAGTATTGATTTTTCTAAATTAAAAGGAAAAATTATTTGAACTCATTCTGGACCATGATGTTTCCCACATTGCAAATAATCAATATAAATAAGGTGTTTTCTAAAAAATAAATTAATGCACTTTAACTGAATGTAAAGAAAATGATGCTTTCTTTCTATAATGTAATTATGATACTATTAATGGTAGCTACCCTTTCTGTACCACCTACTCAGTAGTAGGCACTTTATTTATATTATTTCATTTAATAACCAATAATGTTTCAAGGCAGTATTAACTTCATTTTACAAAGAAGAAAACTAATAAAGAGGTTAAGGAGAGGTTAAATATTTTGCTTATGGAATCTTAGCTAGTAAGATGTTGGGCCAAAATTTAAAGATCAGCATTACCTGATTCTAAAGACCAGACTCCTAACTATAATTTTTCTTATGAAAGTTGATATTACTTAAAAATAATATATTTTAAATATATTACAAAAAATTTTACTGGACTGTGTTATTTTGTTGACCTTGCTTGGAAACTTATAGCCCTATCATGAAATTATAGTTACTTATAACTGTTAGTATAACATTTTTTAATTTGAAAACTA